ATTAATCTATATTAGTTATATATACGTTTTTTAAGGTTATTAATCTCTTCTTACGTTAATCCTTTAAGAGGATCTGCTTATGTAGGGCTTGCTAGTAGAGTAGTATTTAAGAGGCTATTATAATCTTTATTTATTTTAAGGTTATATATATAATATTAATTATTAAAGGGTTTTTAAGATCCGCAGAGCTTATATAGTTTATTTTTTAATAGTAGTAAGAGTCTATTTTAATTAAAAAAGAGTAGCTTTTAATTTTTATTTTATTATCTTTTGGCCGCTAGGTTTAATTTTTAAAAGCTACTTTTGTAAATATACTTGCTTTTATTATAGATAATTTTATCTTTACTAACTTCTTTATTTAAAAGTTCCTATTTTTTTTAGGTAACTTTTTTAAGTATATTTAAGGTTTACGTATACCCCTTAGGGTACTATCCTAATCCTTATTTATTACTATAATAAATCTAGTAGTTATTATTATAGTATATTAAAAAGTATAGTATATTATAATCTACTAAAGGTCTTATAGTATTAATAATTTAGTTTTCCTTAGGCTTTAGGATAGGTGTAAATTTCTTATTACTATTTTTCTTAGGGGCTTAATAATATTTCTTTATATATCTTTTCTTTTTATAATTATAGTATTTAATATTCTTATATTATACTTTAATAATACTAAGGTTTATTAATCTTAGCTTTTTATTATTAAAAAAAGTAATATAATTATTTTACTTTTTTCCTTAGTTAACTTAGTATTCTTAAGTTTACTTAGGTTAAATATTATAAAAGTTTTTAGTTTTTTTTTACTTTTATTCCTTTTATTATTCTTAATTATAATTATTAATTTTAATAGCTTTTTAAATATAGTTAATAAAAGTTATTTTTTTATAATTAATTTTTAATTTTAAAAAGTTTATTTTTAACTTTAAGTTTTATACTATTATAGTAAACTTCTTTTTTTATTTCCTTAGTTTAATTAACTTTAGTTAATAAATATAAAAAGGTTAAAGTATATTTATTTAGTAATCCTTTTTAAGTAATAAAATAAAGTTCTTACTTAGCCTTTTATTACTTATTTATAATACTAAAAGACTTTTTAAATTATTTCTAAAATTTTATATACTTAATATAAATTTCTTTAGTTTATATTTTAAACTTCTTTAAGTTAATCTTTCCTTTTTTATAATTTTATATAATAAGTTAGAACTATATTTTAGCATCTTTTATAAAGCAGCTGCTTATAAAAATAACTTTATTTTTATTATTTTTTAAAATATAAGGGAAGTATTTAAAATAAGTTATAAGTTTTAAAAAGAATTTATTTATTTTATATAAATCTTTATTAAAGGGTTTAGGCTTTATTAATTTAAAAACCTTACCTTTCTCCCTTCTTTTATTTTAAAGGTCCTAAAGCTATATTTTAAAAGCTTTAAATTTAGCCTTTAGTTTATTATAATTAACTTAATTAATTATATTTTTAGCTAATATATCTTTAAGCTTAATATTACTATTAAAATAATTACTTAGAGCTTAGCTTTTATAATTAATATTATTTTTAGGTATATTAAATATTAGTATTTATATTTACTAAAGTTTTTTATTACCTATAGGTCTAAGGTAACTATTTAAATAAAAGTTATTATTATATAATAAACTAGGTCCTATAGGTACTATAGGTTAGCTGTTTTATAAAGGATAAACCTTAAAGTAGTTTTATAGTTTATATTAGTAAAGTAGTTAAGTTAGTAAATAGATAATTTTATTACTAACTGTAGAATAAAGTATTTAAATATTTAATTTAATTACTATAATAATAACTAGCTATTTAAGTATTTTAATAAGTAATATAAAGTAAACTTATATACTTAGTTAGTTAGGCTAGATTATTACTAAGTAGTAATAATTCTATTATAGATTATCTTAGAGTTTTAATAATTTATTTATAGATCGTTAGATTATTGTAATAATCTAATAATTTATTCCTAATTAGTTAATTAGTCCGTCGTTTATCTAAAACCAATTACCCTGTAGGCCTATTGTTACAACTATAAGAGCTAGGTCGTAATACTTAAATTATAAAGTAGCTGCTTTACCTTACCCTAGGGAATAATTTTATTATTATTTTTACTATTACTAAAGTTATTTAGGAACTTTTTCTTAAGTATATACTTATAGAATATATTTAAAATAATATCCTAATTAAACTTTTTAGTAAAACTAAAAATATATTAGTTTTTTACTTTAATTAAGACAACTGCTATAATATAAAACTTACTAATATTATTAATATTAATAAAATATTTTATAATTATATTAGCAAAGTATAATATTTATTATTAAAAAGGAAAAGTATTAAATATAAATTAAAAAGCCTTTATAAAAATTATTAACTTTATTATTAAATAAAATAAGAAGTAGGCTAAAGCTATTAAAATAACTTTATTTTTTTTAATTAAGTAATTTACTAAAATTAAAGTTAAAAAAAACTATAATTTAAATTAATTAATATATATAATAATAATACTTTTTTAAGTATAGAAATATTATTAATATTTATAGTTAAATTAAAATACTTTTAGTTGTTCCTTTTATAAAACTTCTAAACTACTTTCTTTACCTAGTTCTTATTTATAATCTATATTACTATTCTATACTATAAGGTATAAAAGGGATTTACCTAGGTTATATTAATAATAAAGTTTATTTAGAAGTTTTTTATAATAGTAGCTATAGGAATTTTAAGGGAGAAAATAACTATAGCTGCTAATAAAAATATAAAAAAATTATTTTATACTTAGCTTTTTATATATAGCTTATAAAGTATTAATAATAAAGCTTACTATAAAGGGAATAACTTTATTAAGGTTTAGATTAAATAATATAACTAAGGTAGTATAAATAATTATAAAAGTATTTTCTAAATTTATTAATACTATAATTAATATATTTTAGTAATTTTAATTAAATTTACCTTTAACTATTTTACTAAGTACCCCTTTAGTAGCTAGGTTATAAACTAAGATAAGCTTAAAGCTATTTTTACTATAGTTTTTTTAAAAAAGCTTTAGTAGCTAGCTAAATTTAGTAATATTTTATATAGTACCATAAACCTTATAACTATATTTAAGAAACTGCTTAATAATATATAATTTTATTAGACTATTTACTTTAGTTATAAAAACTAAAGATCTTTTTAAAATTACTATATTATTTAATAAAGTTATTTTAATTAAAGTAAAGTTAATACCTAATACTTTATTTAATTTTTATTACTAAAGGGAGATAGTAGTAGAAAAAAAGCTTACTTATATTATATACTAGAATCTATTTAATATTTTTATATTTATCTGAGTTATTTTATAATATTCTATATTTTAACCTCTTCTAGATTATAGTAATTATAAGCGGACTTAATAAGCCTTAAGTAGTAGGTATTAGCTTTTTCCTAATGTTTATAAACTTTCAATGTAAGTTTAAGTATATTATATAACTACGGAGCCCTAGTTTTACTATATTATTAGTAAATATTATAATAGTACTTAGCTAATATAAGTAAAATATAAAGATATTTTTCCTTTAGTGTATATTGCTAGTTTTTTATAAGAAATACTAAAAGCCTTACTTTATTTAATAGGGCGTTGGCTGTAAAGTAACCTATTGAATATCCTATCTAAGCCTACTAGGTATAGTAAGCAAGATCTCCGGAGCTTACAACTAGCTATAGTTACTCTAGGGAAGTACTAAGAAACAGTAGTGCGTTCTAGTTTAGTATAAAAACTACGAACGTCGTAAGTACAACTATCCGCTATGCAGTGTTTGCTCTACCCTAATCTATTACACAAGGCTTCGCGTGCAAAGTAGCTAACGACAATAGTCTCATCTCAAATTCTAGATGGTAATTTCTAAGCAATCAATAAATCTTTTGTGATCAGTAATCTTTCGTGATTAGTAATCTTTCGTGATCAGTAATCTTTCGTAATCAGTAATCTTTCGATAATTAGTAAGTTCTCGATGATTAGTAATTTTCTATGATTAATAACCCAGGCTAAATCAGTCTCTCTAGTTGTGTATAGCGCTTGCCAAGTAGTAGTTAGTAAATAGTCCACGTTCAGATTCTGCTACCCCAATTATGATCAAAGGGCCTCGGTAATATATGTAGATACTAATTAATAACAGAACTTTTACAGTACTAACCTCGGAATATAAAAAGCTGTTTAGCATGGGCAATTACAAATCAATTCATCGGTCATGTTCCAACCTCAGTTTCGTTATTTCGTCGCAAAATTTGGCTCCACCTAAAGTTTCAACCTAATAGCTTCAACTCCAAGGCTAGGATCATAATAGATAGAATAGAATGTATATATATATGGATCTAGTATTACTCCGCAACCTAACAAAAGTTGTTATAGGGGCACAGCATTGAGTAATTCCGATTGAGCTAAGCATTATGTTCAAAGTCTACTTTATATGAGGTCAGCGTTTACTGATCTAAGCTGTTTATATTACAGTATATATTCGTAAATCAAGAGAAGAAGTAGCTTTTCCATAATAATTATGAATAAGGTAACGCAAAAATATATAGCTTATATTTATATATCATTAATTTAATAGGTTTGTATAAGTATATATTTATAAGTGAAAATATTACAATCTACTTGCGATAATAGGCCTATTGGTTAGATAATTCCGACTGACTAATTAATGACAGATTATGAAATCCCCCCCCCCCTTTTTTTTTAATGATATACTTCCAGTAGCTTTGCGTTTATAACTAAAAATCCGCTAACGACGTGCCCCTACAAGAGATATTTCTTATTATGGGAAGTAAATATTCCCTAGCTATATTATAGCACTTGCCGGAGGACCCGATAATACGTTCAAATATTAGTAATTCGTCTTGTTTCCGCTTCCATTTGCGTATTATATAGCTGGCGAGGTAGACGCACTATAAATCGTTTGCCGTACTCATCACATACTTGCATATTGCAGCGGTTTGCTTCAAAATGGCTTACGAAATAGCCGAAGAGACGTCCTACCAGGAGGGATTTCCTCGTGCAGCAGCACCCAACTTCACTGATCATGTATTTCTGTCTCGGAGCGGCGCGGAGCTTGCGGTGCGCATTTGGCCAGCCGACCCGCCCACAAGTTCTCCCGCACCCTTTGCCACATGAACTCACGGCGGGGCAGCCATGGCGGGCCATCATTTCACTCCTCTGGCGTGGATGGAACCAGGCCCCCTGCAGCGAGGCTTTCACATCGTGTCTCACAATTACCGCCTGAGCCCTCAGGCTCGCATTGATGAGCAGCTGGAAGACTGTCTGGAAGCCATAGAGTGGTGCAGAGCAAACCTGCCAGTAATCCTGGGCCGCGATCGCGTTGATATTAACCGTTACATCATCTGCGGTGAGTCGGCAGGGGGGGTCATGGTCACACTCATGGCGCATCATCTGCGTCCCCCGCCGAAGGCTGTTATCAATGCATATGGTATAGTTGATTTTCTTGGGAATGGTGTGAACCTCCTGGACCCAAATGCCCAAAATATTTCGGACTTTCCCCCCTGGACTGGAGAGTTCGAGGAGGAGCGACTCAAGGCTTACCTTTATGACCGCAACCCCGCCAATATTTTAACTGATGCCCTATTTTGGGACGAGTGGGAGAAGCTATCCGTAGCAGACCTTAGTCTGCGGTTGAAAACCGAGTTCAAGTATACTGAGCGCATCCGCTTTCAGGCTGAATTACACAAATGGAAGAGCATTTGCTTTCCATCAAAGGGGATGATCCAGGCCACATTCCATGATGAGAAATTCTCTAGCTCGTCCGAGCTAAAGAAATTCATCGATTCCATGTGCTCTGTACGACTTCTGGAAGGAAAGACCTGGTATCCACCGACTGCCCTTTTACACGGAACCAGCGATTCTATTGTTCCCTTGTCGCAAAGTCAGGCATTTGCAAATAAGCTGCGAGAAATGGATGTGCCAGTGATTGAGAGCTATGAGCCAGGAGCCGGGCATGTTTTTGACGACAAGTATACTGTAAGTGTTCATCTTGATAACCCTCGTGCATATGGCTAAAACCGGTTAGAGCATCCTTGTTGAAGGTTGGGACGTCTATATACAACCAGTTCTTAACTTTATTAATATACACATCGATAAGTAGAATAAATGAAACCGATTGAAAATTGAGGATAGATTGAAAAGGCATTGCGTCTAAGCAGGAATAGGTCCTTTATCTAGGCAATATGTAACTTCAACATTTTCTCATTTTTAGTCAGGTTATTATACTAATTCCCGGCGTTCAATGTCCCTGGTCAACTTGCGGAATTCGCTGGTCCCAAGCACGAAGATAATATCGTCCAGTCAGCTCCCCGGAGTCCCAACTTGGAAGCCCTGACACACTCATGTCCTAGATATTCACAAGCAAATTTATGAGTTAAGGGGACTTTGTTTTGGAAAAATAATTTAAAAATTGAATTCAGATACTACTCTACTAGTTACGTAATAAGATTGCCTGTCTACCAACCTTAGAGCCCGCCAACAAAAACCTAAAACTAGAAACCTAAATCTAGAGATTTGTCCCTCCGAAAAGCTTTCTACACTAACCCAGTAGAAAAAGGGTTCGTCACACGTGAACAAGTCTTGTTCGGACGGCCAACTTGGACCCTCGGGCAATAACAGAGGCTCAAGGACCTGAATGGCAGGATAAAACATCCATAGCAAAGAGAGCAATTACCAAGTATTACTTTAGACAAAGCAATACACACTTTAGATGTATACTGATCCTCGATAGACCCCAACATTCAACAACAGTAAGCAGCCCTTAGTCCTTGATATAATGATACAAGGGCTTCGAAATATTAATCCTATTAACAACGAAAATTCGAGTCTACATTGTAGAAGCACGACTTACTTGAGTCGCCAAAGATTGGTTTGAACCACGCCTCAGAGACTATAGACGAAACGGGCAAGCAAAACGCAAACAATTTACCAGAAATCGCTTTCTAGCTTGGGGAATCGAGAATACTTTCAGTTTGCATTTGTATAGCGTATTCTCGCCAAACATCTTGAAGCTAGGATGTATTCAATGTACTAACGTGTTTATCTGTGCCTAGCGCTTTTTTACTCTGGATCACACCCAGTTCTTGTATATTGAGTAAGACATTGCGTATAAACTAACTGACATGCGCACGTCACAGTTCCGAAGACCCGAAATCCCTGGGCTCCTGCTTTGCACCCTCCACCGGACGAAGCCAAGTCAGGCGGCTGTTGGTAAAGAGCTCTACCTCGGGTTTAAACGCTTCGCTTTCATCCGATCCATCAATAAGTCCAGCCTTGATCACCATGGTGCCAGGATACCCGGTGCTGGTCCGGTACAGCAACCCACCACAACTTGCGCAACTATAGCTCGTAATCTCATTGCCGGAGTCGGCGACTTTGGTAAATGTCTGGAGCTTGCCGGAGATGACCTGGAGTGTATTCGAGGGGTAAAGGATATTGAGTGCGAAAGCGGCACCGGTTAGCTTGCGTTCATCTGTGCAGTGACACATGAATTTGAGAACAGGCTCCGCGTTAAATTCGATGCGATTTTTGCCGCATAAACAGGAAGATTGAGGCATTCTTTTTTTTTCCAAATGGTTATCGGTAAATACGCGAAAATGAAAAGCTGGTGAGAAAAGTCTAGTACAGGGGGTACGATTCTTTAAAGGATAAATATATAACTTTGCTTGTTTTCTTTGGTTCTGCTATATTGTGAAAACAGCGCAAGAACTTCACAGAAAGAAGCCTTTATAGGTGTTGATAATAATTTAGCAGCATAATGTTCTAATACCAAGTTCACTAATCGCTTTAATATATTTGATTCCACTAGTTACCAAACTGGTCTAAGGTACTATACATACCCAATTTGCTTATGATACTGTATTAGACATGGGTTTAACTAAAAGTGAACCCCACCCTAATTAGCTTCCTCGGACAGAAGCTTTAAGCCCCTGTAGGTTTTCGGCGCGCGGGATAAGTTTAGGCAATTCAGTCGAAATATGCTTAAAATAAGTAGTTAAATTAGTACAAAGTAACTAATCAAGCCTAGCCCAGCAGCGCATGACAAATCGCCAAAAGAGGCAATTATGGCTTTTTTGAGACAACCCGTAATAGATATGATGTCACCGTCAACTACAAACAAGAATTAAGAACAATAGGGAGGATGGTTTATTAGGTCTACTGAGATCTTAAAATGTTTTTACAAATAATTACTACTGTACTTTTACAGATAACTACTACTTTTACAACTAACTACTATTACTGCTTTCAACTTGGTCTGCAACGACCTTGAGACATACAATAATACGAATATAAGCAATATACAATTCACTAAGTGTGAAGTTCTGTTATACCGTCAAGCCAAACAGGGCAAAAGATTAGGCCAATAATCGCAATTGTAGCAATTACTGTGACGGAACCAGCTATTTATAAGGGATCAGCCTATTACGAAGGACCAGATCGTAACACTAAGCGTTCTATATAATACTACATCCGCCATATTCGCAATCCTCTCATGTAAATTCTGTTTAAACCCATAAATGGCACTCTCAATACCTAAACTTGTCTACTAGTAGAATATGGGCGAGGGAGAAGCCTCTACTTTGTCTGGAGTAATCTGCACGCTGGTAAAAGTAATTCACACCATGACAAATAACAAAGTGTCCCCGCTGTGACAAATGACAAAATATCCACACCATGACAAATAATAAAGTATCCACACCATGACAAATTATAAAATATCCAACCTTAACGGCCTAAAAAATTAAAGCCATAAGCTTTATCAAGATAGTCGCAGGAGAAAAGCATTTACGCTTAAACAATGCAAATGCAATCTCGAAAATCTATCTGGAGCTAAGGCCAGGTGCTAGGAAAAAAAGTATTAGCAAGCAGAGTAAGCAAACATAATTCTTCAGCACTACTAATAGAACTGGGGCATGGGCTACACCAGAAGCGCGCAAAGTATAATGTGCCGTCACAGCCCATAGATGAATCGAGCTGGATGATACTCAGGTATCAAACACAGGTCCCCGAACATAAACAGTCGCCAAAAACCACCGTCAAGATGGGCCCCTTTGGTCAATATATTGCTCTCCCCATTGTACTTTTCGTCTCAGGCACATGGGCTAAGTTATGCCGGTCCTACACGATCCCTATTACCATAACATCAGCCAATTTAGTCTATGGACTACCTCCTCTCCAAGACAATTTTGACGTTGCCCGGCTAGTCGACACAATCACAAGCAGGACTCCTCCCACTACTCCCCCTTTTTCCGGCTCTACCAATGTCACAGCAAACTACACTATAGCTGCTACGTTTTGCTCGCCTGGTCGTGGTGAAGTTGATCCACATAAAAGCACAGTCATAATCGCTACCCACGGCCTCAACTTTGACGGCTCGTAAGTGTTCGTCTGTGCTGAGATCATCGTCCTCATCTAACTAGACATGGTTCTTCCTGGGCTTAGATACTGGGACCCAAAGCTTGGCACATCATACAGCTTCGTGGACTGGGCCATAAGCCAAGGCTACTCTGTTTTTTATTATGACCGTCTCGGTGTTGGGGATTCTACTCGGTAAGCACCACGGTCCGAACATGAGATACCCATCTTGAACGTTATCTAACGTATTATTCTAGAGTTTCTGGCTATGTCGCCCAGCTCTCGAACCAGGTTGCTGTCCTTGCGGAGCTGACGAGGCTTGTGAAGTCTGGCCAGTACACCGGCAAGTATTCACAAACCAAGGTCGTATACATGGGACATAGCTTCGGAAGTGCTATTTCATATACCGCTTTGGCCAATGATGTTTCTCTCGCCGACGCCATCGTGCTCACTGGTAATTACACGTACTCCATCAGCTTTCTGTCTCGGCTGTCAATTAACTCTGCTTCTAAGGGTTCAGCTTAAACACCACATATGCCAACCCCTTAGGATTTCTTCAAGCTTCCCAGCCCCGAATCGCCGCCTCTCAGCACCCTGCAAAGTGGCAGCAACTAGACACAGGTTATCTTGTCCCAGCAGACCTTTATTCTAATGTCAACACGTACGAAACAACAAAGAGCTCTTCATTTCTCCATTGTTTTCGTCATCAGCTAACGTCTTGCCGCGTACACCAGGTTCTTTAATGGCAATTACGATAAGTCTGTTGCCGAGTACGCAGAGGCGCATAAACAGCCTTTTGCTCTGTCTGAACTCCTCACTATCACATCAATCCCTAGCTTGCGATTTCCTTCCATAGGACCAGCAATGGTGAGGCACCCAAATTTGCGAGAGTTCGTCTTGCAGGTAGCAGCAAATCAACTAACGCTAGCTTGTAAACAGATAATCTCTGGGAAACTTGATTTCATTTACTGCACATCCAAGTTAGTACAGCCATAATATCGTTATATGTTCGAAAGCCTTCTTCTCTAACCCGGTACTTCATTAGTTGCGATGATGTCCTCAAGACCCCCGGCGCTGAGGTATTTGCTTACGCCAAGGCATTTAAAGCCGTCAGCTATCCTGATGCTGGCCACGGTCTCAACCTCCATGCCAATGCAAACGGTGTCTTTCAGCAGATAACGGACTTCCTCTCGGAGCAGGGACTGTAGTAATCGTGGATCAGGGCATATGCATTGAGCATTTAAAAAGCCGGAGCGGGAGAAATGTGTGACTTGCCTAGCTTAGCTATATGGTTTAGATAATGGAAGTTTCTTACGTCGCTATCTGTATTGTTAGACCAGTTCCAGGTTTAAGGACACAGATCCAAAAAGGACATAGCTACGAGTACCGCAGGGACGGCGAGAACTATTAAGACGAATAGAGTTGTCAAGAGGGGCAAGATCGTCGGGGGATAACTTGAAAAACACGTCTTTTCAGTAAATTAGTTAAATAAAATAATAAAAAATTAAAATAAGGAGTATTTACTTATAAATATATAAAAATTATATTATTTATAATAAAGTCTTAAGGATAAAACTAATAAAAAAAGGATATTATATTATAACTTAACTTTTATAATTATAATAATAGGCTTATAAAGTAATTAATCTTAAATATATATTAAATTAATTAATTAATTAAGGATAAATTATTAAATTATTTAATAATTAATAATTTATAAATAAATTATTAAAACTCTAAGATAATTTATAATAAAATTATTACTACTTAATAATAATTTAACTTAGTTAACTAAGTATATAAGTTTACTTTATATTACTTATTAAAATACTTAAATAGCTAATTATTATTATAGTAATTAAATTAAATATTTAAATACTTTATTCTATAATTAGTAATAAAATTACCTATTTACTAACCTAACTACTCCGCTAACATAAACTATAGAACTACTCTAAGGTTTATCCCTTAGAAACAGCTAACTTATACTAACCCATAGGACCCAGTTTATTACACTTACTTAAAAAAAACTTAGAACTTACTATTAGTATTACTTACTTTAACTTAAAAACTAAGATAAATATATAACTTACTACTTACGCTAATTCATAGAAACCCAATACTAAAAGCACCTTCAACTTATATCTTAGCTCTAAAAAAAGTACTATAATATTTTTAGCTAGTATTACTTATATACTTACTAAGAAGTATAACCCCAGGCTATAAATAAGCTCCTATACTACCTAGGACACAGACCTAATAAGTAACTTAGGTAATAACAAAGAGTTCCAAGCCTGCATTAAGTTTAAAAAGCCCTCCAAAGACGAAAAGCTCTTTAAGAACGTACCCCGCATAGTAGTCTAGCTGCAGGCCTTTAACTTTGAATTCCAAAAGGGCAACTCCTACGCCGTCAACGCCTACACCAAGGATAAACATTATAACAGCTTCACTATTTATATCGACGCACTCCACGGCGCGCGGCTCAACAGCACCATGGTCTCGTGGGTCGCCTACGAGCAAGACCCCCCTAGCATTATATCAGGGCAGCTCAATTTCGAGACCTTCAAGAAGAGGCAGGGTGACAACTCAAAATGGCCCAAGAAACACTGCGTCAAGTTAAAGAAGCTCAACGAGTAGCAGCTGACTAGGCTATATACTGGCGTATCTAAGTTCAACTTCGACCCCAGGTAGAACTTGCGTATAGCTGTTAATATCAATTGCCAAGATTCGTCTTTTGAAATTGATGCTTATACTTAGGCTGATAGTATCTGCAATTTGGTTGAGGTTTCTTATATAGCAGTATGTATATAACTAAGTTCAGTACTACAAGTGGTTCACTCTGGTAAAGCAAAACCTGGCTTTGTTGTTTTAGCTAATATTAGTATCGAATAGGCTCCTGAGTATTACCAACTCTACAGCAATTATTTGGAGGATAAGGTTGTTATTCGCTTTCCATAGAGAGTCAATAAATGCCTAGGTATTATTAAATAAAATACTCACCTTTTGACTCTGATCCTTCATCGTCACAGGGAGTATCTCGCGGTCCTACAGAGTAACAGAAGATATTACTGCAGATCTTTTCTCCTTTTCAATCCCAAGTCGCTGCTGAGCAACATCACACAATGTAACATTTCCACATTCGCAGTCTCCTTCCCTAATCCACCGATACGTGATGCTCCACCTATTCTCTCGAGGCCTGACTGTCCCGTCTGTCAGGGTGTCTGTCTTTCTCTTTTTGATGCCATGAGTCCAATGCAGCCTCGCATCTCCAGTCATCTTCATCATCCCCCGCGGCATTAAGTCTATATCAACGCGCTGATCTCCGTTACGGAATTGCATTAAGATTGGCGACCCGATCGACAGCGCGTACAGTTGGTCGTAAGCCCGATGAGCATCAACGTGTGGCGGGATCCCTGTGCCTGGTGGATAGTATTGTAGACAGACCTGGTCAGGTGGGCGAGTCTCGGTTGTGGGGATTAATGGTTTGAGCCAGTTGGGAAACTCTTTATATGGTATATCTGGGTCTACGCCAAAGGTCTTGTAGTCGAATGTGTAGCCGTAGTGTAATGACTGGCGACTGCTGGCCTGTTGGGGCCATTTCAGTTCATTGAGAAAGATTTGAACCAGCTGCTTCTCATGCTCCGGGCTGATAAAGTTGTTTTGCAAGAAAAGACCCCTGGGCAATCCGGGTTGCTCTTCAAACCCACTCTTCCCTGCCATACCAATTATGAACAATGGTTTTGGAATAGGTAGGTAGGTAATAGTATTGTACATATTCTGTGTGAAAATTTGAACTGGTGTACCCCGCTGGTGCCTTACTCTTAGATAGGTACTAAATATACTGCTGTCCAGGTGCTATAGCAAGGAAGGTTAAACTTCGGTGGATTTTATTTTCGAGGTCTATAATACTACAGTAGTCCCATTATACTAGGTAGCTTATACACTTTCACTTATGAATCTGGCAGTTGGACTATAAAAAGACTTAATAACAGCTTCCTGATGGGTTGGTCGGTCTGTCATTCATCCGGAACCGCCAACAATGGAGTCATGGCGCACATCTTGATTTAATCAAGCAAAATTAATGAGCCGGCTGCTCGGCCATTACTAGCCTTTGCAACAAAGACAATCATAAATTGGTCCCTTGGCACCTTCGCCAGGAGCGGGTATTTGTCCCCAATCTTAGGCCGAGTGAGGCGAGCCGTCCAAGTCCAGTTGTTGCCTTCCCATGATACGAGAGACGATGGCTCACCATTCGTGAAGGCTCTCAGTGAGCTTGCTAGATGGCAAGTTCCAGTAACGGTGATCAAACGGGCTTCGAGGTCATTACCGTCTTCACTGTTCGATTTCGTTGACAGAATCTTCAACACTGGCTTGGTTGAAGAGGCCAACAGAGGACTGGTACTTTGGAGTGGTATCTCATCCGACGGCAATGACGGCGCCAAAGGTGGACTTTCTCGGCGCCTCGACACAGCCTCATACGCAAAGGCGTATTTCAAGAGATTGGAGTCTTGATATGCCGCGCCACAGAAAGTGAGTCCGACTGGCATCTTCTCCTCTGCAAGGGTCCCCATTGGAACAGTGATGCAGGGAACTCCAAGATGCTTCAAAGAACGGCCGCCATTTGCGTATTTGACGCCGTCTCTTAATGCGTCAAGCATGTATTCATAGTTCTCGTCCGAGTCGGCCAAGGCGACGTCACCGTTGGTGGGAAACACCACAACGTCGTACTTATTCTCGGCCATCCATTCTTCCAAGTCCCTCTCTCGCATTGCTTCTAAAGCTTTGAGAGCGGACTCACACCCAGGCAGGTCAATAAGACCGGATTTTCCTCGCTGCTTTACCACGGCGACCATGTCTTCATAGCGGACCTGGTTGTGTGCCTCAGTGTGCTGTGAGGGGTCATCCATGGGAGCAATATGTGGGTGAATCTTGTCGAGCTCGGCGAAGGTGAAGTCTGGCAGCTTCTCATCGCCATTGCTGCGGAGGAAGTTGTCCCAACTCAAGGCAATCATGTCGCATCGTTCACGCGCCGCCCAATCCTGCGAAAGGCCGACGACATTCATGCCTTGGCCAGGGAAGTCTTGTCTAGTGTAGTTCTCAAACAGAGGGAAGTCAGTCTCGATAATAGTAGCCCCTAGACTCTCAAGATCTTTCCGTGCTCTTTCCCAGAGGGCGCGGACACCGCTGGAGCAGGCATTTTTTGGCTTGGCTCCCTGAACTCCAATAAAGCACTTTGGGACTGCAACTCGTTTGTTTCGAAGCGCGTCCTGGTCAGCCAACGACTGATAGTCCGCCGGACGGATGTCATTGGCCTTTGGAAGTGGCACATACGGTTGCTCACGCCAGAAATCTGCGTCTCCAGACGCATTGTCGTCTGCAACAACGACATTCAGCACCTGGAACAAGTCTGATACAGTTCTTGTGTGAGGGACGACCTGGTCGCAAGTCGGATATAACGGCCACAAGCCACGGGAAGGAATGACACTACGTGAAGGGGCGTAGGCGATCAGTGCATTGTTGGACGCTGGAGAGCGACCTGATGTGACAGCTTCTCCAGCAAACCCAAATGCGGCAAAGCTTGCTGCGGTAGAGACTCCGCAGCCGTAGGAGGAACCAGAGGCATAAGCGGTGCACATGTACTTTTGGTTGTATGGACTCTCGGAGCGCCCATACAGACCGCGCTGACAACCCCCATCCGCCATCGGCGGCATGTTGGTCTTTCCCAAGACAACCGCTCCTGCTTTGCGGAGCATCTCCACAATGGCTGCATCAGATGATGCTTCGAGGTTGGCGAAAGCAGGTGATGCAGCAGATACGGTCATGCCTTTGACTTTATAGCTATCCTTGACCGTGAACGGGATACCTTCTAGAGGCCGTGGTGGCTTTCCAGAAGCGCGGAAATCATCCGAGGCTTGGGCTTCTGTGAAGACATCGGGGTTGAGGAGACAGATCGAGTTGAGACGTGGACCCCTGGAATCATATTTGCCGATGCGATGCAAATAGAGAGAGACAAGCTCAACGCTTGTGATGACTCGAGCGTTTAGCAACTTTTTGAGATCGCTAATGGTTGCCTCAAGCAGGTTGAGCGACACTTTGTCTGCCATATTGAAAGAAGGGTGAGTGTGAGTTGCGGAATAAGATAAGGGTTCCCAGTTGTGATTACAAGAGAATGAACGTAACTTGGAACCACAAACAGTATTTATAGACGTGCAGCTGTGATATTGACCAGTTTGAGGCGGTCGCTATCGACCTCCCACATTGAGGCTACACCCAGATTGACATTCCCCCGAAGTTGAACGCGCCCATGTCTTGACATTCTCGGGGCTCCGGCTGGCCGCGGTCCCCATGAGGATTTCGTTCTACAGATCCTCGATAAATTCCATTGGACTATTGGGTGAAAGCCCCCAAAAGAATGTGAATCATTCAACTTCCGAAGTTGTAGGTTAGCTAAGTTCGGAAAGCAGCTTTTGTAAGTTCGAAGCGAAGACTCCATGACTAAATGTAAGCACCTTATTGGCTGGCACAAACGCCCGATGCCCGAGTGTTTCTCCACAGTAGAACCTTTCTAAGAGCTCTGAGGGGTCAATCGAACCAAGAACTCGAAAAGCGCTAGGATTACTGGTTTGGGAACTTCGGAGCGTACTCAGCGTCTGACATTGCGAGGGGAGGACCCATATCCGCTTTTCTCTTGCTCCGATGTTAACTGCAGCATCCACAATCTGTGCTCTTAACGATGGGGAGCTCCAGGAAAGCTGAATGTTGTTGGACATGTAAAATAAGGCATGTCAAATGTGACGCAACACCGGCGGCCTGTGTGCAGTGCACAAGTCGAGAGATCAACTGCCATGGATATGGCCCAAAACCATTGTGGATGGATGGAGGTGAAGAGGAGGAGCGAGAAAGGCAGCTTATCAAGCGCGCAGTCAAGAACAATTTCAAACGGAAAAAGAAGCTCCATCATCGTTTAGTCAAGAGACAGAATCGTCCACAGGCTCGAAACCAAAGCCCAATTCCGCTAAGGTCATTGCAGGATGCTAAGATTGCAACCCCTCAAGGTAAGTCCAAGTCTCATGGCCTGCACACCGTTAGCATTTGAAATGGCTACAGATATACTTACTCTATGACATGTATTTGCTCATTTAGATACCGCAGCATTACCAATACTGACCCCACCCTCGTTACAAAGCCGCGTTCCCTTCGACCGCTCCTTTCCAGAACCCTTGCAATATGACGAAGCAAGTCTCTTGATGCATTATCTGGACTATGTATTCCCCTACCAATACCCATTCTCTGAAAAAGGAAATTGGTCTCGTGGCTGGCTTCTTTGGCTCTTGAGCAAGAATGGACCGCTTTATCGAGCATCTATGGGCCTCGCAGCGCTGCATCGGCGATCACTCCAGGGCGGAATTGAGAGCCACCATCTTGAACTTGAGTTTCACACCAAGGCCTTGAGACAACTTCAAGAATTTATTGTTTCCTTGAACATAAATGAGCTTCGGCCTGAGAACGAGAATCTCGTCGAGGCAATAACATGTGGCGTGGCTCTAATTAGCTTTGAGGTGAGTCAAGTTACTTATTTGTGGTTGGGGCTGCAAAGGTACCGAATAGAGCTCTAACAGCTGAAAGGTCCTTAGAGGAAGCACGGGTAACTGGCAACCTCACCTGTGCGCTATGGCTTCAATTGCCATTGCAATACACAAACAGCACCAGCTTCCACAGTCACCAGATCAACTCTCGCTTCCACTGTTCGAAAACAAAACCACGGCAGCTTTAGCATTCCACATCCCAGTATTGTTGTGGATGGACATATTGGCCTGCGTAGCAACACAGAAACAACCAAAGCTGCCTTACGAAGAATGGCTAGGTCCAAGTTGCAACTTTGAGCTTGTACATATCATGGGGTGCCATAACTCGGTGATGAAAGCCATTGGCAACTTGGGAGCCCTACAAGAGTGGAAAGCCGAGACCCTCGACGTAAATCGCCTTGAAAATGAGCAATTATGGAGGAGAATACAATGCATCGAAGATGAACTCGAAGATTGCATGGAAGCAATCCCCATAGTTTCGTCAAAGGTTAGTGAGATATCGCCTTGACTGATCGTTTACAGTAGCTGACACAAGCAAAGTCACTATTCCGATCTGATGAAGGGTATGCCACTCGCATATTTGCGGCTGCAGCGTTAGTGCAACTTCGAGTTTTTGACGCTCAGATTTCACCACGTCCCTCATCAACTAAAATGAGGAGGGCAGTGAGCCGTACGATGTCGGAAATCCAGGTGATACAGAGCACAATTTCTCCTCGGCAGATGTGCTGGCCCATCTGCGTCGTCGGCTGTGTGGCTGATGCAGATCAGAGATTCTTTTTTGAGCATCTGCTAGAGAATGTACTCTCTGAAGGCAGCAGCATCTTTGGGAATTGTGGAACGGCACTGGACATTATGCGAAAATGTTGGAAGTTTCAGGCTGAGCAGCCGGATATTCAATGGGACTGTAGCAGCGCAATGAAGGAGATGGGTATATGCGCTCTACTTATATAGATAATAATGTATTGTATGTGAAAATCCATCTAGAGTAAGTGTACTGCATCTTGATGTCTACGCGACCGACTTGATAGCCGCAATGATACCATCCACGCTCAGCCCCTGAGTATTGATCTGCTCGTATAGGCCACCACCACCTTCACGAATAGCACCAATGGACTTGTACTTTGGTGTGAAATTGCGCTCAAGCAATTGAGACCCAAGGCGAGACCCAAGACCAGTCTTCTGAGCAATAGACTCCACAACAACCACAAATGGAGAAGAGCCGTAGAGCTTGATTGTCTCCTCGTCGACGATATTGAGTGTCGGTTTATTGATAAGACCAACGTCAAGGCCCTCCTTCCTAAGACGCTCGACGGCATCAAGGGAGCGGAAGACCATATCACCATATGAGACGACATAGCCGGCAGAACCACGACGAATCACTTCTTCTTTTCCAGGAACAAACTCGTATCCCTCACCATAAAGTAGCTGATCAGCAGAACCTTCCTTTAAGATATAGGGAACAGGAGACCTGATGGAAAAGATGAACCGCAAGCCCGGATCGAAGAAAATTTTCTTCACTACCGCCTTCATCTGCTCGCCATCCGCCGGAAAGTAAAGAGTGGTAGTCTCGGCATCCATCAGACCATTGTCCGCGAAGAAATGATTTAATCCAAAGTGGCACGTATTATCCGCCATACCTGATATTCCTGAATGCGAAAAACTACTATTCATCAGCTCTTGGTCATCTTCGTATTAAGGAGAAAATTGCGTACTGTGACAACACGCTGCATTGATTAAGACGAGCCATCGTAATTTCAGAAATGATCATTTCCAAGAAAGCTGAAAAGGTCGAAAACACTCCCTGGCGCTCTCCATTGCTTCTAAAACCGAAGCCAGCAGCAGCAGAAAAATTTCCGCGCTCCATGACTCCTGATGGAACGAAAACTTCGGGATGCTTGGTATGAATAGACTTTAAGCCGGTTGAACCTTCCAGGTCAGAATCAATAACCATGACCCGACGGATGGTTTCGTCTTTGCTCAATGTGTCGAGAACCGAGTTGACTGCCTCACCAAAGATGACACGATTGGCACCTTCGTCTTTGGTGGAGCCGAGGTACTGGTGCGGATCTCGTCCGGGCTTGATTTGGGCATAGAAAGCGAGCTGTTCCGGCTTGTATCCTCGCTTTGTGAGGTACTTGCGAGCGACATCAACCTTGATCACATCATGGGCGGAAGTCTGGCCCTCGATACCCTCGATACCGGCGGCCATCTTGCGGTTTGAGACGACGGCAGCAGGACCGTCATAGTTAATCACCTCACAGATGGCGGGATAAAGTGAGTCAAGGTCCTCTCCTTGAGCGCTAACGACTTTGATTCCATGACCTTCTAGAGTACGGGCCATTTCGAAGCCTTTGAGATACTCTGAGGGGTGTCCAGCGATTGTCACATCGTTATTGTCAATGAAGAGCTTGACTCGTAAATGGTTGGCCGCTGCAATTCGTGCCGCCTCTGCGTCGTTACCTTCTTGCTGGGAGCCATCTGAACCTAACAGAATTACGTTCTTGTTCTTATTGGCCATAGCAATGCCATTGACCATACCCCACATGTGGCCGAGTCGACCGGAGCTGAACTTGATGCCCGGGGTCAACCCCAATTCCGGATGGCCTGGAAGCTTTGAGTCGGCAGCCCGATACTGCAGAAGGTGATCGGGTTCAATCTTGCCATCGAGGGCAGCAAGCAAATATTGTGTAGCGACACGATGTCCGGCCTCGTCAAACAGGCTATCCACAAAGCTCTCAGGTGCATTGTTGATAAATCCTAAAAGAATGCATACCTCCGGGGCTGTGTCATAGGGGCCCCCAGTGTGGCCAGCGACTCCCCGAGCCGCGCCGGTAGCAGTAAAGGCAATAATGGCATCCCGGAAAATGTCAATGTTGTGCTGAAGATCTCGTTTCTGTTGATCTGATAGTCTGGGATTTTTATGATCAAGCTTGAGTTTTTTGAACTGGGTCAGATCAACAGGGAATTTGAGTTCTGATGGCATGATGACGATCAACAGAAAGAGGGCCTAGTATACTGCGGAAGGATAGATGAGGATCAATCGCAAAGCATATAAAGGCAAGACTAGCTTCGAGTTAAGACTTTGGAAAATCTTTATCAAGACTCTAGAATTTTCTTGGTTTGAAAATGGGGAGCAAGCATTGGGCTTTATAACTGCTTCGAAGGTGCTTCCGGGAGTTCCCCAAGGTACCCCGCGAGAGACCTTACATTACATCATAGGCTAATAAGAATCTCTGCTTAGTCGTTGTCGTATAATCTCGCAAAGTTCGCCACATAGCGTCAGGTAGCCTGCTATTTGTTGAAAGAGTGCCCGGCAGATTTGAGTGTGTAATTTAGTTTAAAGCGCGTGCGAATACGGGAGATACATAATATACATCAGCCACAGTCGAGAAGATCATTTTACACAGGCTACTATACTCTATCCAGTATGAAGCACCTTAGGTATGCAACAACTTATGACTTCCAGTGGAGGAGCAATTTGCAAGCCAGAATAACAAATGCGCACATGTGATATTTGGTGGCCGAAATCCGCTGCTTGTCTTGCAGACGATATTCTGGGTTCTTGAGCGAAGCAAGTTAAGGCATGAACAGAAGCTCCATTCAAGCCCTGCTCATACAGTATAATAATTTGTCTTGTTTGCTGTATACAGGCATATACCGTCATGATCTAACATAACAGTTGCTTATTGCTTAAGACAGTGGTAGCCCTTTGAAGCATCCATATGATCCAGTTCTTTGGATTGGCAGGAGCAACAGCCCATTTGCCATTTGCGTAATCTGATGTCATGCATGTTATTGCCTATAAATAGGTCGTGATTATTGTTTCCCATGTTCGTGGTGACGTTGAATCACTAGCCATGAACTCTTGGCTTGGTGATAGTGCAAAACGCTTTCGCAGTATTGGGTCCCTGATAAAGTCATGCTAGCAGTATGACCAAAGACCGGTTGGCCTCTTCACACGTTTTGGCCCCAAACAGCAAAGATGGAAATAAAAAAAGCAGAGTGTGGAGATTTTGGGGGTGGGGGAGTGGCCTTTGTAAATACATGGAGGATATTGCCCTTCGAGGCTGCTTCGGTATTGCGCAGCAGTCGAACGATTGTTTTGCGTGGCGAGCGCGCGAGCGGAGAAGCTAATGCGTGTTGGTTTCTCAGGACAGGCTCTTAGGTATCACTTTGGTGGCGAGCTTTGCTCTGGTGGTGAACTGTGGGGAGCTCTCTGTTGACCCTTGTCAACACTTGCAGATGCTCCAATTGCCCAGTATAATAAGCGCCCGATCTTTGACATTCTCTCCACAGGTAAACGCTGCGACACACGACGCTTTTTTGCCAAGATGTCTGACACTGTTCGTCGGAATGGGCAGCTATCATCGTGTGAGCCTTGCCGCAAATCAAAACTGCGCTGTGATCATGGCCGACCTCGATGTGCTCGCTGCACCAGACGCCGGCTGACAGAGCAATGCTTCTATCATCCTGCGCCAATGGCCCGACGCCAGCGCAGCGAGTCGCGTGTGGCCGCAGCTTTGCAGGTCATGTTAGTTTTTGATTCACACGATTTTGCCGCGATTGAGAACTTACACGCCAATCGGGTCCCTCTAGAGTTCCAGCTGATGCTACGCAGCGGCCGCTTGAGACCTTGACAGAGGTATCGAGCTTAACAGCATTGTCCTCGAGTTCATCTTCGTCCTTGCCGACATCTTCTTCAGCCACATCTATTTCTGCTGCATTTGATCTAGCTACTGGTTTGGTTACTATGCAAACTTCTCTTTTGTCACCAATAGAGGCTGGTCGAACGACATCCTCTCATCAATATCCATCGCTTACTCGCACTGGAGTTTCTCGTCTGCAGCAGCCATTCCACGCGAATTCTTCTCTCGTAAGGGAGGGCGAGGATATACTGCAACTGCTCCTTGAGCAGTATTCCCACCCAGATCTCGAAGAACTAGTCAACAACTGGTACACAGATCTCGGAGACAGCCCAGTTGGTGGTCCTTTAGCTAAGGCGGCTTGGCGCGCAATCCAGAGCAATTTACAGAACCTTCACTCCAGTCGATTACTGAATCGTCTCCAGGCCACCTCTCGAGATATTTTTGAGCACACTTCTCGGCCACTCAACATGCCCACGACCGCCGCAGATGGCGCTCTTGAAAAGGAGCTTTGCGCTATCCGATGGGAAACTGTTGGAATGTATTTCGCGCTCATCGGGATGGTTATCGCATCGGCCAAAACCCCCAGTACTAGTTTCTCAGGTCGCCAGTGGTTTGGCGACCGTAAGGCAACGTCCAGTGATGCCTTTGATGCCTGTATGCGATGCGAAGCTCTATGCAATCGCGTTGGCCAAATGAACGACCTTTCTGTGTGGCTTGCTGTCCTGGCCACCACACTTTCCACCTGGTGTTTTGGGGACGATTCTTGTCAGGCCTGGCGTCTAATGGGGAATTTGTCTTCCACAATATTCGCCCTCAACTACCACAAAGGGTTTCAAGATGACATGAACACTCCAGCGTACTTGGTCGAGCTTCGAAAACGAGCCATGGCCCTATCACACGAGCTAGACAAGTCCCTGGCGACGTTTGTCGGTCGACCCCCACGCTTGAATAAGAACTATTGTACCATACAATTACCCCTTGATCTCTCAGACTCAGTTATTGTCGGGCCTGCCGAACTGTTAGCGCTACAGATATCGCGACTAGATGGCGATGGTTGGAATAAAGACATGTGTGTACATCCAGCGTCTCGTCAACGAGCGATTGTTTGGCTAAGCTCGATCCGTGAGGAAATTCTTGAGTTGTCACTGGGAACCATAACTCAAGATCTCGTTCATGAAGCCCAGTAAGCGCTTAGCCAAAGATCAACCCCTCCTCACTCTCTCTATCTCTTTCTTTCTTCTTTTTCTTGTTGTTGTAATTGCGTGGCTGACAAGGAATTTATTCAGGGAAATACTGACTCGGGCATCGTCGACCTGGGAAACTATGCCTCACTTCATGCAGTATGAGCCATCCCTATGGGGGCGAACGGCACCTTCAACCATTATAATGCTGTTGAGCCTAAAACTTGAGTATTTGTATAGCAAATTTCTTCTATACAAGATGCTAGTGAATCAAGGCAGTAGCCATCGTCATGCATTGATTCAAATTTCCCACGAAACCCTGGGGTTAGTCCTCTCAGTAATGAAGAAGAGAGATGTCATTGGCTCCCATAAGATCGATTTGGAATGGACGGTAAGCAGCTCCCGGCCTGCATTGCTGGTGCGAACTGACCCGCCGCAGATAGTATTTTACGCGATGCCATGCGCTAGTGTCTTGATTCTAGAGTTATTTCGACTAGCCAGCCTACCAAAACCACAGCCATCCGTCGCTTTGAATAGGTCGACCATTATCCAGGACATCAGCGTTCTCATATCGTGCTGCGATTGGCTAACTGAGTCGGGAAAGGGCAATTATGAACTCTGCAAACAGGCTCAGTCGATCTTTTCGAAAGCTCTGGATCAGATCCTCAATAATGAGATGCCTTTGACACGCCCACTGCCAACCAGTCCAACTGTAAGCATCAATGATGCGCTGTCGGCAGAACTTCCTGAGGTGCAAAACCTGGACACTATCACTCAAGACCTGCAGTGGGCAGCATGGCTAGACACTGTTGACTTCCAGGGGGAACCATGGCTGGAGATGCTTAAACCGCCTACGAATTTTTTTGGAGACCTCGACGATTACTGCTACTGAAGCTGGTAACACGAGGAAGCTTCAGGGTACCAATAAAACTTTACATATACCTTAGACGGAAATTCTGCGTATCTAGAAGGTGACGAAACATGAAAAGAACATCTAACGCATCTCGCTGCAGGACAAATCCTGACATCTTTGAGACTGACAGCGGTGAAGAAGGCAGGCCGGCTTTTAATAGGATTAAAATGTGTGGTAAATGTCTCCAACTCAACCGATCCAGCTGCTCCTTGACACAATTCTTCTCATCTTCAGCTTTCAACAAGGAGTTGCGCATGCTCCTCTAGAGTTGGATGGTCGATATCCTCTTCCATTGTAACATTGTCACAATTTGAGCCTTGTAGTGTGCTAACAATAACACCGTGGCTGCATGAGCGCCGCGTAGTTTGTAATGCGGCGTTGTTGGAGCTATTTTTTCGACTTGTTCAGCGCTAGTGAATAAGACGGCTGGCAAAATTTCTCGTACCCGTAGCGAGCAGTGCTTCTGTCCTCCCACGCTGGTTCCACCGTCGTCATCCAGCTGCAATTCTGAACATCTTGAGGCAATCAGTGCACTTCACCATGTTCGCGTTCGATTTCATCTTGCTATGCAAGCATCCTCTGCCATAAACATAGATATTGCCCGAGTAAGAGTTCAAGAAGACTCTGAGCCTCTCAGGGTGAGACAAGGGTATCATTGCAATTAAGGGTGACTCACTCGTATTGTATTTGGTGAGAGAGACAGCTCATATATCCGTAGAATTATATGAAGTACGTCCAAGATTCACATTGTCCTGTGTAATCGCGGCAGTGAGGAGTGCATGAGGTAACCCCGTTCCCTGAGATGTCTACAGTATTTACATTTCTGCTCATGAGCTTTTTAAAGAAACCTAGTTTGTGTAATTGCGCAGTGAGAGGGTCAATCTCACATCTCCATTGCTACTCAGTAGATGCCCCCGCCTTGAACAAAGTGCAGCAGGCTAGGTGGTGTAGTGCAACATAGACCGATGTGTACATCGTGGAGGAACCTGAAACGAGAGGCACTTTGCCTAATCATTACGCGATAAATCCCAGGCATGCCGTTGTCCACAGTCTTTCAGACCCAACACTCAGCAAACGAGCGCATAAGGGTAACAAGGCCGAGGTCCGAAAGAGTTGGCTGTCCTCAAGCTGCAGCAACACGCAGATAAGTCACAGCATGTACCCCTGTTACTCCGAGCTCCGATCAGAGTAGAGGTCCGATTGGTCAATTTGGTCCGGGCCTCCCACCAGCGAGCTTGTGTAAGTGTGTTTTGAAGGCTACATTATTTTGGATATACGGGTATCCTTGGATATGGTTTATTTCGTTATATAGTTGTAATCAGTACATTCAAAAAGACAGGTTTGTTTCTTTATTTAACTATAATTATGGAATGCCCAAAGGAAGAAACTATGGAAGCTAAATCACCAACCCTTGAAAATGCTCCAACTGAAGAGGACTCAAAGTATCCTCGTGGTATGCCGTTATTTCTCAACCTCCTCTCAATAATACTAGCAACTATTGTGTGCGGCTATGTATGTACAGGATGCAACGCCATGATATTCAATCTCGGTTTTTGCTAACATTGAGACAGGACGCCAATTGCGTGACGACTATTATCCCGGTTGTAACAGACAGATTCAACTCGCTCAACGATGTTGGCTGGTATGGCACTGCCTTCTTACTGGCTTCGGCATCTTCACAACTCTTCTACGGAAAACTATATCTTTTTTACCCAGCTAAAGTCGTCTTCTCCACCGTTGTCTTCACCTTCGCCATGGGAAGTCTGATATGCGCCGTTGCGCCGAATAGCAGTTCATTCATCGTGGGCCGCGCCATTTCCGGCTTGGGAAGCGCGGGGATATTAGCCGGTACTAATATTATCATATCTCGGTGCGTACCTGTTCGAATGCGACCAATCTACTCCAGCATCATTGGGTCCATCGAATGCGTGGCCATCTCGATTGGACCATTGCTCGGCGGCGCGATAGCAGAGACTCTGGGATGGAGGTGGTGCTTCTGGCTTCTTCTGCCTCTCGCAGGCCTAACCATTATCATTACGATACTCTTCTTGGGCAACGAAGAAGGCGCTGCACAACCAACATTGACTCTAAAGGAGAAAATTCGCCGGCTCGACTTGCTCAGCCTCGCGCTGTTTATACCAGCCATTGTGTGTCTGATCTTAGGACTTCAGTGGGGTGGGACCTCCTATCCTTGGAGCAACTGGAGGGTCTTTGTGCTATTTATAATCTCCGGGTGCTTTCTCTTTGCCTTCGGGGTTAACCAATATCGGAAAGGCGAGGAGGCCACTGTGCCTCCTAGAATATTTCTTACTAGAACTGTTCTGTTTGGATCGTTGTACTCTTTCAACACTTCTGGAGCACTTTATGTTGCTGTATATTATGTACGTTTGACTGAATGGTGGCATATATCATTTGCTAACTTATAAGCAGCTCCCAATTTGGTTTCAGGCAGTGAAAGGGGCCTCGCCATTTGGCAGCGGTGTTCGCGGCCTTCCGCTGGTATTGTCTCTAGTGGTTTCTATTCTAACATCAGGGAGTATAACTAGTATCATCGGCTACTATACTCCAACAATGTGTCTCGGATCCATATTGATGGCGGTTGGCGCAGGTATGTTGACAACATTCCGCGTCGACACGCCTATAACATTATGGATAATATACCAAATTATCTTTGCCCTCGGTATCGGGCTCGGATTTCAGCAGCCTATTATCGCTACTCAGACGAATTTTTCAGGAAAGGACCTTCCAATTGCCCTGGTGCTGGTTAGTTTTATACAAAACTTGGGAGGAATTGTAGCCCTTTCCTCCGCGCAAAACATTTTCACGAATCAATTAATGTATAACATACATAAAGCAGCGCCTAATATTGACCCAAAGCTGGTTCAAAAGGTTGGAGTGTTAAGTCTAAAGCTGAGCTTTACTAAGAAGGAGTTGAGTGGGATACTTCCAGCTTACAACCTCTCTATTACTCAGGCACTTTTAGTGGCAACGGTTATGGCGTCAGTAACAGCGATTGGCTGCTTTGGGGTTCCTTTCTATTCAGTAAAAGGCAAGAATACCAAAGAGGATAGAGTATAGAAAAGAAAAGTGTTCTAACTGGAGCGGACATCATTATTTCGACGAAGTGCGGGACAATTCTTTAGGGCATAACCAAGGCTAAAAGGCGCCCTAATACACCCAGTGATCTGACTATTAGCAGGATCGACTAGGCTTGGGGTTAAATTAATATCAATCATTCCTCTTGACTGTCATCATCATCCCCCCTCTCGGCCTTGCCTCTATTCCCAATTCCTGGAAGATGATGTCCCCAAAAACTGTGTCAAGGTTTGTATACGATGTCTTCGGTTTTGCATTTGGCTCGAGGCCAGCACACTCAAACTCAAAATCACGTACAACCATTAGTAAAATGACCTTGAGCTCATTCATGGCGAGGTTCTGTCCCAGACATGCGCGGGGCCCACGACCAAAAGTCCTGAAATACGACCGTGGAACTCCTTCTTCTGAATCTAGCCAACGTTCAGGGCGAAACTCGGTATGATTCGGGAAGAAGTCTGAGTTATAGTGGGGGTCGTGGCCGTTCAAGACAATGCCCTGATGCTTATCGATTGGATAACTCCTACCTTGAACGGTAAGCTTGGCACCGGCATCCGCCTCCCTGACTGTGAAGCCCACTGGGAATAAGCGGAGGGACTCCTTGATGATAGCGTCTGTGTATGGAAGATCTTGAAGCTTTGCTGGCGCGTCCAGTAGCGATTTTACAGTACCATCAAAGTCTTTGCCGAAGACGTCATCATGCTCTTGTCGCATTTTTTTAAGCGCTGTTGGAGCGTGCGACAGGAGCATGAAAATGTACTAGGTTAAGTTAGTAGAGTAGTAGGAAGTTTTATATTCCAACAGGTTGTACGCACGCATAAGCTGTCAGTGGTAGTACCATGACCACCAAGAAGCAATCCCTTAATGCTATACAAATAACGTCTTAGCTAGGGCAAATTGGCAAATGGATGAATGAACGAATAACAAAGCACTGACTTAGTCAGAAGCAATTGGGTATCCGTGTATGATAGAGTTATTTGCTTTGTCGTTTTGGCTCCGCTGCTCGATTCGGATTGCAGTATATGTTCTCGGAGCATCAGATCTAGAATGCTGCTCGGGTCCTTTCTAGATGGCGTAATTCCCTCGTTCAACAATAAGTTTAACCTGTCCTTAATTTTGCCGAGGATCAAAGGATGAAGTCTGCCCAGGACCTTGCGTTTCTTCCACCACTTTGCCACTCGTGCGATGGGGTTGTAGCTTGCAACCAGATCTGTTTGGTTGTGGGCGAGGTCAACTAATTCCCTAAGGTCATTTAAGTACGGGCTGTCGGCTGTCTGAGCATGAAGACGAAAGTTGAAGACAACACGACCAATGACGTCAAAGATGAGCCTTGCGGACAGCTCTTCGACGGAGAAGACTTCTCCAGATTTGGCATATTTCGCAAGGGCGGCACGGTACAAGGCGCACTCATCAACCATGACGGCAGTTAGAGTGCGTATGTGAGACCATGAGAATGCTGGAGCCATGGCATTGTGCAGTCTCTTCCAAATGGGGCCATTGACAGTTGCGATAACATTGGGGCCAATGATTGGGGACAGAAAAGCTTCAGACATTGTGTGCTGCGGGAGAGGGTTCCGCACTGTGACCTCTTCCATAAGCATTGGATCTGTCAAGACAACGCTTGAGTCCGCAATTGGCCACAAGTCGAGGTAAAATATGCCTTTGAGGTTATACTTTCTGGCAATTTCCGTGTAGTATGCCTGAGGGTGCGAGTTTTGGGGAATCGTCGCAGAGACCTCGCCCAAAACCTTTAGATGACCCCATAGAGCGCTGTGTGGTGGTCCAGGCTTAAAAGATTATCAGTCACTACGTCAATTCATGATAAAGATGAGGTGTGCATATAAGAACAATATTGTTCTTCAGCTTCTGTGCATACCAGATTCCGGTAAAACCGGCGGTGTCGGTAACCTCGTTGGAGGACTTGAAAGGCAAATGCAGACATCAATGACCACAAAGCAAATGCGACGGGATGGCTGGCGGCCAGTGAAGAAATGGTCTTGAACACTTCCATCCTTCTCTTTTCAAGGCCAACTGTTCGACGCCTGTTTGGCGATGAGGTTGAGCAAAATCAGAAGATGCTGACCTGCGACGCGATACACAGCCTCATGTGACGCAACGCTAAGAACCCGTCGACAGCTACGTGTTCTTGGTTATCTGCCTCATTTCTTCACTAGTAACTTATGCGGGGAACGAAATTTGAGAGCTTATCATGTTTGCAGTACGGCCAACGAAAAAGTACATTGGTTGGAATGACAATTAGGCTATTCAGTGCTGGACTTTATTACCTGTACGCGTTAGACACCGAATAAACACAGAGTCAGCGCTAAAGAAGTACGTGTAGTCAGTTCTCTTAGCTTGGCTCTATTATAACATGTCACAAACCTTTTCTAACCATATGGGCCGAGATGTACTCCGTACAGTATACATAATTACTTCAGTCATCCAATGCCTCGGAGGCTATCTGGCCCACGATCCATGTGTACATGTCCAAGATCTGTGGCCACATCAGGTGCTTCCCGATGGCTGGGGATGCTCAATATCTCTAACAGGAGCGAAGTTCATATGCCTGTGGAATGAGTACCACTGCCTGTCTTTAGATTTGTAGACGTCAGTTACCAGCTAGCTATGGAGCTCTCGGGCCAAAGTCCCAGCGCCGAATCTCTCCCATTATTTTGAGGCTACCACATAGCCACTCTCTTTGGCGGCCTACAAGGAGAACTCCAAGCCGATTGAGTAAAGCATGATTGATGTCAACTTCACACATCTGTTCAAAGTCATGGCGGTCTTTGGATATGGCAATGGCTAGAAACCCCATATACCCAAGCCGGCTTACCCTGTGAGTTGGCAAATTTGTAAGGAGCTAGATAAAAGGACTTCGTTTCGTCCTCGATAGAGTTTACGTTATCAGCTAATGATTTAATTCTGGCTCGCAGATTAAGACGTAGATCATTGAATTTTGTCTCATGCTGTTGAAAATAGTGTCACGAATCTTGGAAGCATCGATATCCGGGCGTACAGGGAACAATCTGGCTAGAGGTAGGGAGGCTCTATTGACAGTATAATGGCAAAGCAGTAGGCTGGACCAATTAGCCATACAATTCAACGGATATATTTTCTGGGGTTTTGCCTGCTGTGTTTCCAAATAGTTGTTCTTACTGCTATGGTACAATCTGAGCGTGGCCCGCCAATGCTTGGCTATACATATCTTGAAGACAACTTTAATCTTATAGCTAGAAGATATGCGTATTAATATGGAGTCCAGCAGGACACTAAATATCATTCTACACCTTTTCTGAAACAGACACAGCTCTTGGTGCATCAAACAAATACAACGCCTCCGACCGATATCCATTAGCCTACTCATTTGCTACGGCACAAGACAGTATGAGGCTTTTCTGGGCTTCTGAGGTTAATTATTAAATTACCGAGTAACACTACGGAAGCTCTTTCTACTTGGCTCTATAGTTTAAGTTTTGAGCTAATCCATGGGGTTAACATAACCAGTCATTATACAGTACGTGAGCGCTAAGACACCCGGACCTGGGCTCCAACATAAGCTGACGAAGGAGACCAGCTTAGACAAAAGCGGACAAACAACAAAGTAACCAACGGAGAACTTATTGGTACAAGATAGCTTGCGGCTGGAATTCGGCTCTTCGTAGTTAAGTTGGTCTGTCTTATTTTTGTTGGATCAGGCAAGCGGACACCGCTGTTCCCCCCGAAGGGATATTACACGCTTCACAACTTGCTGAGGATTCTGTTTTCCTTTTCACCAGCTTCTTTGGCAAAGGTGGGGGGGTTGTAGTCTACAGGACCCTGTAACCATCGGATCAACCGATTTGTGGCTTTTTTAGGATTGAGGCCATCGGCTTTAATAACTCGTCGTTAGCAATTGCTCTCTATGACTCGTGACGGAGAACATGTCTTGATTAGCGGGAGAGCTTACCATAACCCACGAAGGGAATAGCACTGCGATAACCCATCATATCGACAATCTTCTTCGGGATTTCGCCCGAGAGTGCTTTTCTGGGATCAACAGCGAGCATTAAGTTCTCCAACGGCCGAATATACGGCTGGCAGTACTGAATCGTTGCAGCATGTCGTGGCTTATCGCTCCTATTTGCTCCACCAGAGTGCCATGTTGTACCGAGAAAATAAATAACACTGCCTCTGGGACAGACGACCGACTTGGCTTCTGACTCTTCGCCCAATCTGTCACTGCCCCAGAGATGGCTTCCGGGAATAATTCTTGTGGCACCATTCATCTCGGTGTAATCATCTAACACAATCATCGTAGCAGCCGTGACAGGAGGTCGAGGTCTGGGCAGCCGAATGACACTATCATCGTGATGAAGTACTTGGGCCTTCTCGCCCGGGTTGATAGTAATTGTCTCCATGATATAGATCAGGTAATCATCGTCTAGGAAGAAGTTGTTGAGTGCGTGGACTTGGGGTATCAGGCAAAATTTGTCAAACACGCGCGTCTTGTTCAGCAAAGCGAAGATACGATTCGTCTTAAACCCATCAAATGAATCACGGCCAATGCGTGGGCGATGACCATGAAGTCGATCAATCTCTGCTTTTGCTTCAAGGGCCTCTGCTTCTGTAAAGGCGTTGGGAATGACTACATATCCATCTCGTAACACAGCCTGGGCTAGAGAACGTATGGCTGGATCCGACGGGAGCGGTTTTGGCTTGCGCAGATAGTAGTCTCGATCGATCGGGTCAGAGGCTTGCGGATCGGTGGTAGATGAGGTTTTGGTCGGCATAATTGCGAACTGTTGTGAACAAAGATGTGTAATTTCCTTGGTAGCCGACACTTTGTCATATAGTTCACCCCGGCTTAGGGATTAAATGGATGTCTTCTGTCGTACCTTATATCTACACGGATATTCTCACTAACATGTTACTGTTACGTATGCTTACCATTCCAAAGGGATAAAGCTTACCCTATCTCGCTAGTGCTGATGATATGTGGGCGTTGGCGATGTTTCGGCCGTAAGACTGGGCTATGGGAGCTGGACCTCGGCTGGACGGGCGAAGTAGACATTTGCCTTGTCGCGCCATTATTACTACATATCATGGGCCAAAATGGAAGATGCTAACTTCGAAGATGAAAATAAAAAGAACTATTCGTTTAGTCTTTATTGGTGTGGGCAAGAAATGCATGAAAATCACCTATCCTCGTCTTCCTTTCTCCAAAGCAACTATACTCGTGACATGGATCCAAAAGAGAGGCCAAAAAGCTTACCAAAGGACCGCAAAAATGACGCTAATGGAATGAGACTAGAAATTAATGAATCTAAACTTCACTCCATCTACCCAACCTTTACGCTCCACAGCTTTTCCGCGGGGAAGCATTTAGTTGCTCAATCGGCTTCGCCAGGTCAGATTGGACGTGCTAAGTGGGAACGTGGTCCGTTAAAGTTGGACTCGTTCAGGAGATCCGGTTCGCTCATGAGCTTGGCTTCATTACAGGCAGGCACACTCAGAGTTATACGTGGTTGGCATAGTTATATAGATGAGTCGCGTCGTCGTGCTCTCCTAGTACACCAAGCAAGAAGTCCGCAATGCTCGTATCTATCCCCTATAATTGAGAGAATCACCGTCAAAAACTTCTTACAAGATAATTTGTGATCTGACTCACCAGCGAGTATTCATTTGAGCCGACGCTGTTTGGGGTGTTCCAAGAAATGTCCTCATGTAGCGTTGGTACCGAGGGTTGATCTTGCAAAAAATCAGATAAAGATCTGGGTCGAGGATCGACCAAGATAGGTGACGATAGAGTCGTATTGTCCTGAGAGTTTACAGGATCTAGGGAATGAGAAAATGCGGAACAAACATCGCCGTATCTTTGGGATGCCGCCTCCATACGGTCTGGGCAAGAAGTTGAAGAACGGCGACAGATACTGTATGGCAATAAGAAGCATTGTATTGTGTACTCTTTCAGACCTCGTTTATAGGTATAGATACTTTTAGCACCGGCATCCCTGCTTTTCTCAAGTAGAGTTTGGATCCACGATGTACACATGGAGGAAAGGCTACCTTGGCTTGCAAATGACTCTACATGAGATAGTCAATTTATTTGAGAAGATTAACACATTCTGGCAATGCATCATACCTGGCACTGCATGTTGCATCAGCAGGAAACATGTCAAGATGAAGGCGTGTAACTGTGTTGATAGCAACAGAGAGCTGGTTAGTTCTTCATGAACTAAGGTGTCCTGGGCTGACAAGAAGACGGACGCGGAGTCGAGACAGGCCATCCGGGAATAATGGAACTTTTTTCGATCTTTGGGATAAATGACGAAGGTTTGGTGCACAGCCAGAAGACAACGGCGAATATGCAAATCCAGGATAGTAATACGGGCTCGCCACCGGTCCTGTAGAAGACTTGGGTGCATCGGTACCATGTCTTTTGATGTTGAGTGCAAGTGTGACAAAGCTTTGTTTAGCTCAGTGTCGAGATCGAGTACTTTCTGGTACGTCAACCCATACTTGCGGCTGGTGAGCGCTTGGCACACCTCAAGTCTAAGTGGGAGTGATTGCAGCAATGTTATGTGAAACCAGCAATCCGTTGGGAGATTGGCTGCGGCGCCTGAGCAACCCTCTTCCAAATCTTGGTCGTTCAAGTTCGCAGGCGCCAGCGTGTCGAACATTTCCAGTGTAAACATTGGCGCGAGACCTCTATCCAAGGAATTGGATATTTCGATTTCCATAATCGTAGCCCATAGTCTCCTCCTCAGTTCAGTTTCGGTAGCAGAGATATGGGCCAATTTTCCCGGATCCGTATGAAGACCCATCACTACTGCCAGTTTCATCAAATACCCTGTAGTGGCATATGAGTGCCAGTTATTGGTTGTAAGAGGTCTAGTGGGAAGGGCTAAAAGACAGAGTACTTGAATCAGGCCCAGGGTTGGTTTAATCACTTCTAAATGAGTGAATAGCCAAGACTCAACGGCTGGTAGCCATAGGAGAGCTGTGTGCCTAGGCAATATTTCTCTTTCAGAAGACGGAGTATTTTCGCCAGCGTGCTGTAATTGATATCCAAGCAGCAAAACGAGCAGTAGTTTGGCCGGATATTCCAAGGCAGTCGTCGAAGGATCTTGTCGTAGATGATGGTACTCCTTCCAAAATGTAGGCATATAAATTATTCGAAATTTGACTTCCCAGAACGTCTCGTAATTTTTTATCAATTCCGTAGCAGTGTCGTGTTGGGGAATCAGCGAACAGAGATAGGTCCACTCAGCTCGTCGAAGAGGTGGCACATCTTGCCTCGGAATGCGAGTAATCTTGTTCACAATGTCGTTATGTGCTTGCAGAGTGCTTGGTATCGATACAATTGCTTGATGGACATAGTCATAAAATCCATCCATCTATGTGAATAGCTTTAGCGACCTAGATGATGTCTGGAGAAGAGGAAAAGAGAGATCGAAAGGGGGGGGATTACTCTTCTCAGTAAACTCTGCCAGCTTCCTTGCCCATGGTAACACCATGACGGAAACAGTTCACTGGCTTTGTTTTCATCTAATACTATGCGTTGACTTTGCGGATCTTCGGGATTCAAGTTTTGTTCTCGGCCTGGATGTGAGCCTAGGCTAATATCTGGTGGTGCTATGGGTACCGGCTGGCGTAGAACTGGGCTTTCTGTAGAACTAACTGGTAGGTTTCTGGGGCGAGGTGCCTTTGTGTATGTGCAGACTCTCTTGTCCACTGACTTCAGACAGCGATTACAAGGAAACTTTCGGTCACATTTCAACTTCCGAATTCGACACTGATCGCATACAACAGGAGGTCGTCTAGGGCGAGGGGAGGCAACGTCTTCTGCTGCCATCATATTAATTTTGCCTTTTCCTTGGTGATACAAGTCAATTGTAAAACCCATATGTGCGCAATACACAATGCCATGGAGAAATGATGCCGATGGATTCTCGGGTTTTGCTTGGCAGAAACTACTGGTCTCATCAATGCTAGGCCAATCATAATTAGCTCTTTCGACTCCACATTCTTCTCCAGTTTGTCGGAGACTCGGGCTCGGGACTCGGCAATTTGCCTCCACATATTTATCTCGCCCATCTCGACTTACAAGATGGTTGAATAAAAGGGAAAAGGTCTTCTTCAGGTGGATTTCAAGAGCAACTTCGCAAAGAAAGTTTCGACATAAACTGTCAAATTACAGCCACTGGTTTCATCTCTAAATATCTCCCGTGCCTGTCTTCACTAGATTTTCGCCCCTCACAGAACCATCACAATGACCCAGAAACCTGAGCTGGCGAAAGACTCGCAAGTCGAAGAGAATGCATCTCTTGTTCGATTCAGTGGCCCTGACGACCCGGATATGCCACTGAACTGGCCCCTGAACAAAAAAATTATTACTACCGCAATGTATGGATTTACTACAATGGGTGCTACTCTTGCCACTGCCATGCATGTATACCCTTGTCTGCAGTCATTTATGCAAAGCCACTATTAATCACTTTTATTCTTAGTATTTCTCCAACTTCCAAAGCTCTCCAGAAAGAATTTGGGAAAAGTGAACCAGTCGTGACGCTCACTGTTAGTTTAATGATGGTTGGGTAAGACTACAACGGAGTTTGACGATCGATATGCGAGTGCTAATGCAGAAAAGATTTGCGGTTGGGCCCATGGTTTGGGCTCCTCTGTCAGAATTATTCGGAAGAAAATACACCGTGGCAATCCCATATTTTATATCAGGGCTATTTGCACTCGGCTGCGCAACAGCTAGCAATATCGAAACGCTTATTATCATGCGTTTGTTCATGGGCTTGTTTGGGTCAGCACCAGTTGCCAATGGCGGTGTAAGTCACTGGTTGTTTCCGTGGGATTTATTGCCATAACCCATGCTGATAATACCTATGTGACTGATCTATAGGGTGTGATCGGTGATATATGGACGCCACAACAGCGAGGGATAGCCCTCGTGTTTTACTCATTTTGCACGGCTAGCGGGCCGGTGCTTGGGCCAGTTGTAGGAGCTGCGCTACACGACAAGTGGAGGTGGACAGAATATGTGAGTTAAGCGCAAGCCAATATAATCTACTAATGCGTATACTAATCAGAGTAATGGCGGGAAAAAGCTCTGCTGCATGTGGATGCTCGTGATGAGCATGTTCGTCATGCTGTTATTAGACGAGACGTATGCACCAGCTATATTGACTACCAAGGCACGGAGACTAAGATTTGAGACTAAGAATTGGGCACTGCATGCACAACATGAGGAGTGGCCAGTGAACTTGCATGGCATTACCGTGAAATACCTCATTCGACCGTTCCAGCTGCTGGGAAATCTCACTTGCTTTCTAATGGCCTTTTATGGTTCCTTTGTCTTCGAGTTATCGTACCTTTGCCTAGCAGCAATCCCAGTCAGTTTTGGAGACCATCGTGGCTGGCCACGTGTGTCCGCGGAACTCCCGTTCCTGGCGCTCATGCTGGGAATTGTGATGGGGGGGCTCGCCAATATACTCAATAGCCGCGGATACGTTAAGAGGATGAAGGCAAACAACGGTAAACCAGTACCAGAGGCAAGGCTGGTCACTATGTTACCGGGTTCTGTCCTCTTATGCGCTGGAATTTTCCTCTTTGGCTGGACTGCAGCCAGCCCAGTCCATTGGATTGTCCCCTGCTTGGCGCTGGTCTTACTCGGTTTCGGGTTCCTAGTCATCTTCCAAGGTTGCGTCAACTACCTCATGGATACTTTTCCGAAATATGCAGCTTCTGCGATCTCAATCACGACCTTCATGCGATCTATCTTCGCTGCTGCATCCGCTTTATTCGGCAATCCAATGTTGGAGGCAATGGGTGTTAGTTGGGGGATCAGCATCTTCGGCTTTATCTCTGCTGTGATGATACCTGTTCCTTTTCTCTTTTACTTTTACGGTGCCCGAATAAGGCAACGTAGCATGAGTTCCGGACTTTTCGATTCACAATACTGACTCAATTTTCACGGATAGTATACTTGGGAGATAGGAGGCTATACCGTATCATTGCAGCTTTACCAATTCTCGCATCTTGATAACAAATACAATCTCCAGAAGACCTAGTTCATCATCTTTATACTAACATAGGCCCATTTCTTCAGCTTCCTTCCAAACCTCTGCAATCAGGGCAGTGTCAAGGTAATCTCTAATAGCAATCACTTTACCCTCTTCATTCCACTTGATTACTAAAGCATAGCGGTTCATGTACTCTTTGCCTAGTAAGAGTTAGCTGTGTGTCGCGGTACCCCGCCATCTCCATCAAGTTGAAGAGACAAAGATCTCACCCGATTTTCGAATACCGCGAGCTTCTAGCTCCATTGTCGTCCACTCGTAATTCTCTCCCCCGAAGAAAACATGCACTATCTTCAATTCCAGTGGGCCTTGAAGGGCTTTCATTAACTTTTCAATTGTGTTGGCCCGAAGCTCAGTCAGGTTGGTGAAATGTCCAGTGCCTGGGCCACTGCCCATAATAGTCCAATCGACATCCTCTGCTACGCGAATCCAAAAAGGCCCGCCGTTCGCAAGCGGTTGATTAGCAAAGATAGCTTCGAGTTCCTCTTTCGTGAGATAAGGCATGGTGACGGTTGAGTGATAGAGGAACGGAGTATTCTGCTCAGGTCTGACTTTCACAATTGGACGTGACGGCGCATCTTTTATATAGCGGTAGCTACGAGACTGTTGACTAACGACTCCAGACTTCGGAACCCACATAGTGCTGGATCTCGTCCTTGCAATGGAGTGCCCAACGTACATGTCGATGCAATGCTAAGCCTATTCTGGACGAATAAGCGAACTTCGAGAATCAGCCCACCACTGGGGAAAGGCGGTGCCGCTTGGGCGAACTACAAGACAACGCAAGTCTGCCTCCTGCGGTCGATTAGCTTCATAATCACCTAGTCCAATCAAGACATTGTTTTCAGGGGGGATTTATTGACCATCGAGCGGAAACTATGAGAAATGAGCTCGTTCCCAAACCGCCTTTGCTATGTGTTCGTCGGCATATATGATCGGCCACGAGATCTTCTGAAGGGTAGCTCTAGCATCAACCCATTGTCTGATATGACAAGCTTGACTCCACCGTCGAATACCTTTGTCGAAAAACTCTGACATATCTGAATTGAGAGTATGGAGTTCTGAGCTCATGGAGGCGGATCGCCGGAATCTGATCTCCACGCTAATTGCACCGAGGAATATTTGCCAAAATAGTAGACACCCATCCGCTCCCATGCAATCCTTCGTTTTCGCGAAATGGCGGATCAGAGCATCTCTCAAAATATGAAAAACGTAATCGTCCAACGTCTCCTCTGAGCAACTTCGAAGTCCTAGTACGTAGTGTAGATATAAGCTGGTGGCGCCGTACAAGCCACACCAAGTTGACTTCAGTACTTTTACTGCCTCTGTTGACATTTGTCTCCACACCTTCGGCGAGATGGATGCGATATGTGAAGCAACATATTGAACATGTAGCTTTGACGCAACTCCATTTGCACATGCCGAGGCAAACTCGTTTTCTAATGCGGAGAAGCTTCGCTTCGATCGGATCATGTCAAGACTGTCTGTCAGGTCTCGCAGGTCACGAACCGTGTCTGTGCCATCAATCCAAGGCGAGATTGTCCCTGTCTGTGGGGATCGTGAAAGGAATGGCATTAAGCATAAGGCATCAAGCTTGAGCGAGAGATCGCAATTCTTCTCCACATGGTCCAGCCGACTTGCCAAGGCTAGAAGCTTCTCAGAATGCACGGCGTGATGAGTTTGTGAAACCTCGCCGCAGCACATACTGTTAAGTAGTCTAGTCATATTTCGGGTGAAGAGAGAATGTAATCTATTTAAGCATGAGTACACGCCTAGTAGCGATGCGTTGATTTATACATACATCTAAGGCAGCTAAGGATGGAAATAGATTTCGGTAAAGACTTACAATAAGTAGTATCGGTGATTGAACTCTTCTTCTTTCGAACTTTCATATAGAGGCTCATCTTGCTCTGGTAATCGCTGCCAGTGTCGTTTCCGTTCTTTCAAAAGGTTCAACATACCGCCTAGGTGGGCCTTTGCGCTAAAGACGTGACCTAGACAAAGCTGCAAGGATTAGTGGGAAGCTTGCATGTTCGCAATTGGTTGATTCCGTTGTAGACTTTCCTCCGTTCTAGCTCTCCGGACTTACCTCGATAAAGCAGAGTGAGGCTATCTGGCTGATAATGCAAGTCGTGCGTTCAGGCTGTCGTTCTGTGATCCACTTGTTGACCATGTGGATCAGTTTTACTTTGTGGAACAGGAAGGTTGATTCGAAAGATTGCATGCTCCCAGTTGTCCACTCAAAATGCAGCGCCGCAATCAAAAGGGTCAGGCGTAGCGCTTGAGGATCGTTGATGATGGATTTAAAGCTTTCCCGTTGTTATAATTAAATTAGGGAAGAGATATTAAGAATAGAAACAAGCTCGCACCTGGGGGATGTTTTATCTTGTGATATAGAGTTCATACTGTGGTCTATATGGCAAACTTTCGAGTCCAATATATTAGCTCCTAAAGATGCTTCCCCTGTCGGAGGGCTCGTTGCTTGCATGGGTTCCAACTGAATATTTGTGCCACTCACAATACTGAAAAAGCTCCTTGGATTGAAATGCCATTTCTATGCCGAGAAATTGGAAGGGATCTAATGCTCCATGAATAATAACACCAATCTTTCCATGAAGAAATGTTTCATCTGAGTGCTTGGCTGCATGTGTGATCGTCATAAACACCAACTGTTCCCATGGTCGGCATGCTTTGTCCACGGCCCTCCTATCACGCAGAGGGATCGTGGGAGCGTACTTGCAAACTCTCTGCACTCTTGAACGTGAACAGTTTCCACTATTCACACTAGCTTAGTTAGCTTTCGATTCGGTGAGAATCGGCACAACACACGTTAATGCAGGTCGTGAGTGAATAACGTTACCATGTTGGCTGTACCTCATCACATCGTATGTGACGTTTCCGACACTCTAGACATCCTGTTCGGCGACGAGGGGCATATGGCTTTCCTAAAGTCGCTTTATCCATCGGCTATTAGTCGAGAATAAGGACAGGGCAAATAGTGAAGATAGGAACGAGTGAGGGAGCGACTGCATAAGAGGGCAATGATGTTATAGTTAATGCTCTAGCCAATGGTTTGCTTTGACGCTATGCCTTTTCAAGACGAATACCCGAACATGAATGAATAACTGCACATCGTGCTGTGACGGTGGTAATCCTGAACTCCCACAGTAGGTAGCGCTAGCTCTGACCGTGGGTTACAGGGATCCCCCGGGAAACATCAACCCCAAGTGTCGGGCTAATTGCCGCTGTCTTTTTTTAGGTATGTGGGATGTCCCCAGGTGTCGCTGCGTTGGAAGCAGTCAACTTCAACTCACAGACTACCGCCACCAGAGCAACCCCCATCCGGCATCAAATCCCCAATTACAACAGCGGAACGACATGAAATTGGACCGGTCTCATGAAACTGAAATAATAGTCATAGCGACCGTAATAATCTGGGGTTCCCTCACTGATTATATCCACAGAATTATATTGCGACGGCAGGAGTAACGCAGGTACATAAGCGCGCTGAATTTTCTTTACTTTAATAGTATAATACCACAATTCACCATTGGTTCTAAGCATATTTACTATTTACTGCAATCAACCGTTTACAGCTCATAATTTATCGCCGACGTGATCTTTACGACTTAGATAGGCGACTGCAGGGCTAGCTACCTACCTTAGTATTCTATTACACGCCTGCTACCCTAGAAGTTCAATCGACTCAAATCAGCAGCTTGAATTACCTATTTATGCAGCAATATCAGCGAGTCACAGATTGATATCTTGCGTACACAACTCACAATCATACAGAGCCACATATACATATACCCAAGCGTTACGTAATTATTATAAATATTAGAAACCTACTTGCTATAACTATAATTAAGCTTCCCTCCTACATCTACAGGTACCCTACCTTTTGGGTACCTAACTACTAAAATCTCTTACTTATTTAATTAGCTATTAAATAAAATAACTATGATTTTTTTATTTATAGTCCTATTTAAGGACTTTAAAAAAATAAAAATATTTATAAACCCTTTAAATAACTAAAATAAAATAAAACCTATTACCTTTAAATTAGTAATAGCCTTTTAATTACTAAAGGAGGTAACCCTATTAGGCTTAAAAATAAAAGAGGTTATAGTTTTTTTTTTTATCTTTAAGAAAAGAAAATACTTTAAAAAAGCCTTTAATATAAATAAAATACTTTTACTTAGCTTTAATAAAGTAAAATTAAGTATAGTAGTAATAGTAACTATAATATAAATAGCTTTAAAAAACTTTATTACTTTTATCTTTAATAATATAAAAAAAGCTATTAACTTAAATAAAAAAGGGAAATCTTTTATTAAAAATAAAATTATAAATTAAATTAATAAAATTAATATATAATAGTAGGTTAAATAAAATATAATATTAAATATAATTATAGTTATTAACTTTTACTTAATATAGTATATTTTTTAACTTTCTTTAGTAATAGTAAAATAAATATACTTATATTTAAATACTATTTTTAAAAACTTTATTATTTTTTATATTAATTTTAAAAAAAAGCTTAAAAACCTTAAAAAATTAAATAATAAAAAAAAAATTACTTAATTAACTAAAATAATATTAGTTAATATATTTTATAATAAAAAGGATAAATTAAATATTACTAAAACCTTTATTATAATAAAAGCTTTTATAATTATTAAAAAAGTAAGTTAAAAAAACCCTAGGGTTATATAAATATAAATTATATTATAAAAAATAACTTATAATAAAAACCTTTAAAAAGGAATTAATAATCTAAAGTATTTTTTTATAAATAATAAAAAGTTAGCCTTTATTACCTATAGAAAAAATATAAATAAAATTAATAAACCTAAGGAAAGTTTTAATAATTATATTTTTATTTAAGTCCTCTTAAATTATATATAAAAAAAGCTATTAACTATTAAGGCTAAATAAAAACTAATTAAAATCTTAAAGTTTATAAATAAAAATATTACTTACTTTTAAAAAGTTTAATTAAACTTTACTTTTAAAAGTAAAAATTAAAATATTAAAAATAAAATTATTATACTTTAGTTAATAATAGAAAATAATAATTTAAAAATTAAAAAAGTATATTTATAAAAGGTTTTTTTTATATATAATATATTAAAGATATATACTAATATAAGTAAAACTTACTTTATAAATATATTAATCTTAGAGGAGGTATATACTAAGGTAAGGGTTAAAAAGCTATTTATTTTTTACTATAAAACTAATTTTAAAAGGTTTTTTAATATATATAGCTATTTTATTTTCTTTAATAAAAATATTAAACCTAGCTTTAAACTTTTTAATAGTTTTTTTCTAATAGAAATTTAGATTTAGCTCCCTTAGGTTACTTAATATTTATAGTACTTTAGATTTTATAATTTATAAAATTATACTAAAATTAAAAAATATTATAAATATAGTAAATTATTTTTTAAATATAATAATATTATAATTAATTACCTATTTTTACCTTAATATATTAATTATAATAGCCTTTATATAGTAGATTTTTTAAAATACTTTATTAAATTAATTATTAAAAATAAGGAAAAAGTATAAATAACTAAAGCTTAACTTTAGGTAATTTAAAAATTAAACTAGTAGAAATATAATAAAGTTAACCTACTTAAACTTAAACTTACTCCTACCTTAACTTTTAATATTAAGAAAATATTTAACTTAAAAACCTAAATAAACCCTTATATAAAGCTATTAATTTTTAATTTAACTTTACTTTTCCTCCCTTAGGCTTTAGTTAAAAAAGTTATTATGAAAGTTAACTTAAATAAAAAAGACCTTTATAAAAGAACCTTTTTTATTAAATTAGTAATTTATATAACTAGCTTAAATAATAAAAAAAAAAAAGCTAAAAATAATAAAAATATATTTAATACCCTTTTTAGAATTAATATCAGAGCCTATTTAAAGAGGGCGCGGTTACGCAACGGCCGTGCACCAGCTATGTTACAGAGGTATAAGCTAAAGGTTATAAAGCCCTTAGCTTAGTAATAATACTATAAAAACCTTAAAATCTAGGGAAGGAATTAAAAAAAGTAAAAATAAATATAATTACTTTACTACCTTAAGCTTACGTATTTACTATATAACTACTTATAATTATCCTTTATCCCTCTTTACTTTCTTTTACTAACTTAATTTTTAATAGGTTTATTTCTTTATTTATAAAAAGTAAAAGGACTATTAAAAATAAGGATAATTATTAATAAAACTTATTTATATAAATTATAATTTAGTAGCTGTAAGGTTATAGTTTTATAAATTTAATTATATATATAATTATAAACCCTTCTATAGGTAATTTTATAAATAAGTACTATAACCCTTCTTTAATAAAAAACCCTTAAGCTAAGTTAACTTAAATCCCTTTTATTAAAGGAACTATAAGAATATATTATAACTATAGTTAAAATATAAAAGAAAAGAAAAATAATTTAATATTTATAAGTAATTAAAAATAAAAAAGACTTTATTTTTAATATTAATTTTTTAAATAAAAACCTTAAAATAAAACTAAAATAAACTTACTTTAACCTATAAGAAAAGATCTAAATATTAACCCCTAAGTTTAAGGGGTAAAACTAAATAAAACTATAAATATACCTTATATACTTAAGTAACTAATTTAACTTTAAAAAGGATTAGTTTAAAAAAAATATATATAAAATCTAATATATTAGTAATTATTTTATAAAAAATATAAAGTATTAATAAACCTTATTTTAAACTAAAGAATATTAACGCTTTTATATTAACTTTATATATAAATAATATATAAAATAATATAAAAATAATATTAATAATAAAACTACTTATACCCTTAATATAATTATATAATTAAACTACTTTTACTAATAAAAGGGTAAGTTATTTTAGGTTTTTATAAAGAAGTTTAAAATAATCCTTAGTAAAATTTTAAAATAACTTTTTAATATTTTTTAAATTCCTTAATTAGTTAATAAATACTTTTACTATATATAAAAAGAAATTATTAATCTTAAACTTCCTATAATATAGTAAAAACTCTATAGTACTAAAATTAAAGTAAAGGTAATAAGCTAAAACAATTAAAATAGGCCTTTAAATAGTTAAAGTACTTAAATACTAAAGGAATAATATAACCTATTTAAAGTATAAAGTACTTATTAGTAAAAAATACCTATAGTTAACCTTAAACCTACTTATAATAATACCTTAATAAAGTTAAATAAAAATAATAATAGCCTTATAATAAAATTAATTTATTAAAAATATAATAAAGCCTATTTTAAAAATATCTATATTATACTTAATTATATAAAATATAAAAATTAATAATATATAATAAAGTATTATAATAACTTTATAAATAAAAAAGGATTTACTAAAGTAAATTTTATTTTAGTTATAAAAAGGGTATAAAAATATAATAAAGGTACTTTTACTTTATTAATACCTATTATTATAGTTAAAAAGTAAAGCTTTACTTTTAAATAATAAACTAAGATAAAAACTAAGAATAAATAAATAAAAATAACTTTTATCTTAAATAAAAGTAGTAATATTAATATAATATATTAGTAACTTATATAACTAAAAGATATTTTACTATATAAAATAAACCTTACTTTATTTATAAAAAATTATAAAAGTAATATTTATAGGAAAATAATAAAGTTATATAAAATAATAAATAACTAAGGAGTAATAAAAAGGTTTTAAATTTTTTTTTTTATTATAGTAAACTTAAATTTAAGTATATTACTAAGGAAACTATAGTATAAATTATTAAATATTCTTTTAAACTTTAAAAATAAAATATAATATTATTATATTTTTATTAAAATTTTTAAAATTATAACTTTAAAAAGGTAAGTTTATAAGTAAAATAAAAAAGCTAAGGTATAAATAGTTTTAGTATAAAATAAATTAATAAAAAGTAAAAATTTAAAAATAA